TCTGGCATGTAATCATTCAAGGGAATTGCATTTTAGGCCTTCAAATGTGCTATAATGCAGGAGCTTCCGGGGGCCTCCGGCCCCCTGGACCCCTGGCCGGGCGTTGCCCTGGACCCACTGGGGGCCCTTGCGGCCCCCTGGCCCCCAAACAAATAGTTCAGGTTTTTCAAAATTTTTAACTTGCACCCATGCAATTGGCCTTGTGGCAATTTTGAACAGCCATTTTGGGAAGTTAAACTTTGGAAATTGGGAATTTTAATGTCTATTTTCTATTGGGAACAGTACCGTTTTATGGTAGTAGTTATATAAAGAAAAAGAAACACTGAGATCTAATGCATTTAGACAATTAAAACAGTGTGTATTTACATTAATATTGACCTATTTATGAACTAAACTAAAAAATAAATACCTTTTAACAAAATAATTAAACTGTCACATCCGAAAAATCATGATTAAATCCTCTCATTTAATTAAATTCCTTGTACAGCCGATATACAAATGTACAGTGCGCAAAATCTTATTGGCTAATTCAAATGCAAGCGTTTAAATGAGTCCAGAAGTTTCTAACGGAATATTTTTCCAACGAAATAACAAAGTACCTTGTTTGAGAGTTTTTGTTAATGGTAGAGCATGCAATTGAAAGAAAAGAAGATAAGCTTTTTAATAAAGCTTGAAAGGCAAGACAATAGACATTTTTTTATTTTTTTTAAATGCTATGCGTTTATGAGCAATAACTATTAGACGTCAGGCTTGACCAACATAAAACTATAACAAGCCTGTAACGTCTAATGTATTGGACTAATCCAGTCCCTGCTTGAACCCCAAAAATTTAAATAAAAGTCCATTTCCACATTTTATATTCAGAACAACAATAATATGGCACTATTGCACAATTTTCAATATTGCATTGAAGCTAGTATTTATTGTGTCGCCTCTACAGAGTAGTGTCGACATATAGGGATCACTTCTCCGTTGTCTGTCTGTCGGTCCATCCGTCCGTCACAAAACTTGTCCGGACTACTCCTCATAAACTACTGGTGCAATTTCATCCAAACTTTACAGGAATGATCAGTACCAAGTCTAGTTGTGCATATTATCAGCATTTTCCGGTTCAATGATTTTTGTCAGAGTTATGGCCCTTTAATAATTTTTATTTTTAAAGTTTGTCCGAACTACTTCTCTTATACCACTACAGCAATTTCAATGAAACTTTACGGGATTGATCTGTAGCTCAAACTTTTATGCATATTGCACGGGTTTTCCGGTTGAATGATTTTTTTTGGCCGAGTTATGGCCCTTTGATAAAAAGGTGTTTTTTTCTGTGTATTGCCAGATACACAAAAGCTTGTCCGGACTACTCCTCATAAACTACTGGTGCAATTTAACCAAACTTTACAGGAATGATCAGTACCAAGTCTAGTTGTGCACTGTCCGTCTGTCTGTCCGTCTGTCACAAACTTTGTCCTAAAATGAAATTGGCCATCATGAGGCAACACATGTGATTACTGATCGCTCTTGTTATACAAGGGTAGCATCTTCTACACCCTTCACCATGCCCCCTCAATTTCAAATGTAGAGGTACATGTTTCACTTAGTATTACTACCAACTAACACAGGCACAAACTCATCACTTAAGGTAGCAATATAGCAGACACTCTTTTCTTTAGTCCATATACATGTATATGCTTATTACCTGTATCCGAAATTATTTGCATTTATTTTAAAAGGTCAATTGTTTATATTTTTTATTTCTTATGACATTTGTAAAGCTCACAGTTGATTCTTGAAGTTAATTAAAAAAAACAACACCAAGTGACTAACTTTTTGTTGATCATTTGAGAACTCAAAATACTTTTTGGCAGTTATAAATATCCAATACTTTTTTTCTTAAGACAGTACATGTGAATTGTGATGTCAAGCCGTGGCTAAAATATTTACGAATCAGACTGAGATGACTTTTTGAAAGCAGACTTGCCAGGGCTCAATGAATTTCTTTAGGGCCACTTTCCCTGCAGGGCTGGGCAGTGACCCTCCAGATTTACTTGCCCTACATAAAATGCACTCGCCCTACATTTTGACGGACAAAATTTTTAAAAATCAATCACAAAACTCTAAAGCTGTCATTGATTTAGTGCAATGCTTTAGTGTCATTGATTTTATTAATGATATCGGGTATCGGATGTGAAATATTGGGGATTCACCGATTTATCGATAAATACTCCTAATTGTTTGTATAATATATGATACTTTTTCATACCTGTCTAAATGATTTTAGTAAAATAAATGTTCTGTTCATACAAATATGTTGTGTCCAGTTTGTAAATGACATTTGCAAATTTTTTTTCTGACCATATTTTGCCATCACTGGTATGAAATGACAACAGAGTGTTAGTCATGGCCACCTGCTTTTTATACGCCCGTTTGAAAAACGGGACGTATTATGGGAACGCCCCTGGCGGGCGGGCGGTCGGGCGGGCGGGCGGCGTCCAATTTTGTCCGGAGCATATCTCCTACATGTATGGAGGGATTTTAATGAAACTTCATAGAAATGTTCACCACTATGAGGAGCAGTGTCGCGCACATGAACCAGGTCTCTAGGTCAAAGGTCAAGGTCACACTTAGAGGTCATTGAAAAATGCTTGTCCGGAGCAAAACTTCCACATGTATAGAGGGATTTCAATATTACTTGGCACAAATGTTCACCATTGTGAGGCGGAGTGTCGCGTGCAAGATTCAGGTCCTCCTTGCGGCCAAGGTCAAGGTCACACATAGAGGTCAAAGTTCAGATAAAAATATGAAGATGTGTATATGGACCATTTAGTCATCATTTATTGAGGGATTGTAACACAAATGGTCATTATCAAGACTATAGCTGTGATACATATAATTTAGGTCAATATATACAAGGTCAAGGTCACTAAAGATGATGAAATATCCAGATTTTGTAAATAGAATTTAATCAAAGGGCAACAACAAAGTTATTACTTTGTTCATAAATGACTTACACAATTACTCCCCTTGATCTACTTTCACTTTCAATTCTAAAAATAGAATTTAATCAAAGGGCATAAAATAATCCTCTTTCTTGGACTTGAGTATGTTCTAAAGAATGTAACATTTATTTACACATGTTTCATTCATTGGTCAAGATTCTTAACTGTGATAACTATGGTGTTCTGTAGACTTGGTATTTGTTCATAAAGATCATACAGTAATTACCTTATCAAATGTAAATACTTTCTCATAGAAATTTAATTATATTTTAATTTTCAAGTAAATATCAGTTCAGCTCATTCAAAGATTAAGAATTGTAATGAAATGTATTTCCCTAATATAAAATCTTAAATCATAATTTTTTAGTTATTAAATTGCAATTACATGTACTTTTTATCTTCCCTACTGATTTGTTTTAAGGTTCATTTAACAACACAGTGCCAAGGATAAAAACTTGCTTGCTAGATAACACTTATCCATAATGCCCCCATCTCCATCTAAAGCTTTCGTAAACGGGCGTATTTTGTGACTATGGCACCCTTGTTTTTGTATGTTTTTAGTGAATTTTCATAATTTATAGACATTTAAATCATTTATCAAAATAATTGATTTTTTCAAATGTGTATTGATTATTGATCCGACAGAAAAATATCAACAATACTCCGATATCGTCTCTATCGATGTTACAGAATCTATCATCATACGCATTCGGTAAAGTTTTATACTTAGGCCGATGATGATAACTTCATAAGGTCAGTTTTCGGTTGACAGTATTACGATTGAAATTACTTCTGCTGTTTGATATTTTTACCGAATAACTTCATTTATATTAAATTTTCAGAGAAATATCATTTGGATCTGAAGAATCTAACTTGCCCTGTCAGGCGAGTTTGGTCAATTTTTTACTTGCCCGTCCCAAACTTTCACGGGCATGCGAGTGGATTTGTCAAGGCCTCCATGCAATTGAGAATGGGTTAGACTGTTCCTAACAATTGGTAGATGGCAACGACATTTAGTTGATATGCATATTAGGCTATCCCAAACATTCATTCTGACAATTTTTTTTGTTGCGTGGCGTTGCATGTACCCCCTGCTTTTGATTTTTATGCATGCATGTAGAATTTTGTACGTGAGATAAGCACTGTAGTTTGTGAATGGGCATGCTGGCCCTTTCAATGCTTTGATTCTACCAAAATTTACAGTCAGTGTTGAAAGTACTAACTCAGCCAAAAGTCTGTAGTTTTTTAAAAACTTAGTCTTGATCAATGCAGTAAAGATATATATATGCAATGACATCTTACATATAAATCAGTGTTTGGGATTTTGTTATATACAGACACCGAAACTGCAGGTAACTTAAAATTTGACTTGAACTGATTTGTGTAAACACTGATATTTCTTTGACTGAATTGCTAAAAGAAGGCCAAGTTGCATAGGAAATGCTATTGTATCTTCTACAAAAACTTAACAATCAATGACATTCACCACCAAAATTCCCATCCAGATCTACAGTAGACTGTATATTCTATTGTAGCTACAAGGAGAAATTTATACAAAACACATACTTTCTTCATCACTTCAGATAAACTTTACCCAAAATTCACTATTTTATCATAGAGCTATGATCTTTTATAAGTACAGTAGAAGTGCATAAGTGATAATGAAATTTTTCAGTATGTGTTAGATTCAAAAAGTAAATACTTTGAGCCACATTCTGTGAATGCCTATTTGCAAGTTTTCACTTGTATATTTTACATAGTACAATTTGTCTTATTAGCTGGTATGAACATTCAGTTTCTTATTAGCTCTGTTCCGTGTAAAATATGGAAATTGACAGTTGTTATAGCTGATCCAGTTTGTAAATAGCAATTTAAGACCAAGTAAAATGTCAAAGACAGAGTCAGTGGAAAATGGGTTAAGCTTTCCTACTTTAAAGTTTAATATTGCCTATATTATAACATTTGTATTTTGCCTTACCTCTTGTCTTAATTTACAATAAGTTAATTTGTCTGTTGTATTTTACAGATAACAGTGAAGAATGACCGGATCATTGATGGAAATTGGAACCTGAAAGAAGTCTATGTAATAAATGTAGACTTGTGACAGAATAGTTTATCATCTGGAACATAATATATAGTGCCATTATGAAGCTGACACATTTTCAGATACAGTTTGATAACCCCCATGGGGTATTTGCAGCAGGGGAAAAAGTCAGTGGACAGATAATGCTTAATCTAGCAAAACCAATGAAAATGAGAAGTAAGTTGGAATCAAGTTGTCTGCGCAGTCTGATCAGGATCCATGCTGTTCGCTATCAGTTTCTCTACTTGTTATAGGGTTTGTAAGCGACCAGCATGGATCCTGATCAGACTGTGCCGATCCATGCTGGTTGCAAACACATTACAATGTTTTGTCATGGCACGGCTATTATATTTGTTACTCTAGGGATATAGGTTTGTCATATTTGGTATGGCTGAGACTGTCAGCGGTTTCTCACTTAATTAAGAAGAAGCCTTAGCCTCTTGATTTTGGGAAAGATTGTCACTTAAATTGATAATTTGGGAAGTAAAAAAGCTGGTCAGATTTTTGGGAAAACTGCATGATTTAAAAAAAAAATCAATTGGAAAGAGGCCTTTTTATAAGCCTCTGTTATAAAAGGTGAAAAATCACTGGCTGTGTATGGAAATAAAGTAAAACATTTTTTAAAATCTTTGCTTATTCTTTTCTAAAGAGAAATTTTGAAGAACATTTTGCAGTGAAAAGTGAAATATTAGTAAAGCAGAAATATTTAAAAGATACCTATTATATTAACCCTGTACTTGCTAGAACTATACAGTCTGACTAGGCTCTACTGTTGGCTTACCAAATTGTAATTTTGATCTTGACATCCCTAAAATAGATAATTGACAGTGGACAGTTCCAAAAATCAAAGCTAAATCAGTCCATTTGAACAAATCCAGCATCTTATGGGTTATACTTATGCAGAAATATGATGCCTATTTTGAAGGCATACCTAAAGCATGAAAGGTATCCTTAAGCTTTTTATTTTGAAACTAAATGCTTAAATTGGTACATTGTGAAAACATGAACATTGCTTTTTTTATAGGCTTAAAGGTTCTTCTGGTAGGGGAAGGTAAAAGTCATTGGTCGAAAAGACGTGGAAAGACAACTGTTCACTATCGTGGATCAGAAACTTATTTGAATGCCTTAATTGTTCTGTTTGAAGGAGGTGAGTAAGGGTCACACACTTTTAAATTATTATCTAGTCTTTTGTATACATTTTAACACAACAAGTCATATGTGTTCTTTGGAAACTAGTCATTATGTGTTCTTTAAGGTTATTGTGATTAATTTTGCGGCCATTAAAATGTTAAACCATCAATTCTATGGTTTGTTCAGTCTGTTAGGCTTTTTTCCTTCAAAGGTGCTGACAATGAAATACCAGGGTTCTCACTAGGACTTTAAAACATGGAGTCCATGGACTCCCAACCCTGAAAAAGTTGGAGTCCAAAAGCTCGTCGCAATTAATATGTTTACAGATTAGTCATTCAATGCTCACAATAGCATTGCTGATATTTTGAATCTTCAAGAGTCTTCCAAAGTTTATAGTTATTCAAAAGAAACTCTGAACTACATAGTATAATTATTGTTTTGTTGTTAGTATTTATTATGAAATTATTTCATTATAATGCATCAACACATGGAAATCGGTTTTTTTTCTCACTTTTATACCAAATCAAATTTTATTCTGGTTAAATAAGTCCACTCTAAAGACAAAAAGTTTATATTTGTAAAAAAAACGTATATGTATATAGGCAGCGTTTAGCGGAATGAATAGGAAAGTCATGTACTGGGCAGGAACCAGTTTCCGGACATAATTCGAGTTTTTTTAATTGTCTATTTTTTAATAATAAACATGCATTAATAAAACTAACATACCAAAAACCTGAGCTCTAACTACGTCCGAAAACACAATTAATACTGCCTGGTGACGTAAGCAATGTACAAACTGAAGGGTTGAATTAGGTCATCAAAAGTGTAAATTGTTCACTCTTGCAGAACCAGTTTCCGGACATAATTATATTATGATAGGAAAACTAACGATCACGTGATAAGTCTCGGAAAGACTGAAAAGTGAAACGGATATTTTTGTGTGTACGGCAGCAACGAAGTGTGAAAGTGGAGTAAACCTAGCTGATTCGTTACAGATTTAGCTCTGGGGAATTACACCCAATGAACTTCGAATGAAGTACATTGTGCATTAATTGCTACCCCAAATTATATCCCGAAATAAACAAAATATTGCGCATGCGCAGAACAAATTACATGCCCCAAAGGGATATAAGGCTGTTTTTAAAACACAGGTAAGATATCCTCACGAAATTTTAATGATGTATCAATTTGGAAGGAAGTTTATTTTCTCAAACAATCAAACCAAGCATCTTCATGACATATAATACCGATCGTCATCGATAAAGCCAAAATTAAGCCGTTAGAATACTTGTCCGGAAACTGGTATTCTCCGGAAACTGGTTCCTGCCCAGTACAGCTTCACACAGTGTGTAAGAGATTCATCCGATCGACAATTATTTTAGCATCTTCAAAAGGGGGCAAATTGAAGATCGATATTTAAAGATTTAATGTTGATTAAATAATAAAGGAACAATTCATTCGCATGTTTGGCTTGGAAACCAAGAATTATACATATATGCTTATAGTGTATTTGCCTCTTTGCCTGAATGAAAATGAACAATAGGGTGGCATAGTGGTCTAGGTTTCTGCCTCTCAACCCAGGGATCATGGGTTCGACCCCTACTTGGGTCAGGACCATGATTCCTCATAATTTATGACACCAGTTCTAGTGAGTTGCAGGAAGCAGACTCTAAAGTGATAAATATAAGTTGTAAGCAATCAAGCTAAAATAATTATGAATATGTTTAAGCTAAACTTCAACGAATTCAAATCTTTCAGAAACGTGTGAGATAGCTATTGTAAATAAAGCTGACTGTTCTACTGAGATTACTGAGATTACTTTTAATCTCTTACAATGTAAAGAGCTTACCTGAGGACTTCCTCAACAACTCCAGTAAAATTCAGAGATCATGGGTTTGAGCCCTACTCGGGTCACAACCATGTTTCTTCATATGACACCAGTACTGGTTGGTTCCAGCACGGATTTATATTACAAGGATCGGACACTTTCGTTTTAGCTTAAAGTCTCGTCGCGCGCATGCGCGGAATCGCACATTGGATAAAGGTGGACAGAATGAGAGATGGCGGAACGCGCGGAATAAGAAATATGACAGATTTTCACAAGAGTGTGTGGTGTTATTGCAGCCTTGTGGAAATTTTTACACATATTAATGTATTGATACAGTATTATTTTGTGTCGCTAAAGTATTAATATATGAAAATATGCCGAAAGAACGCTGCAACGCTGAGTTAAAAAAAGTACCTAATTTAAAAAATATTCGCCCATTGTCAAGGCATACTCTCTACACTTTGACGCCCTTTTACTTCAAGCACAAATTATTACCGCGATTCAGATTAAGATAATTATTTTCTACATTGTTTAATGGTTGCAATGCAAAAAAATGTTTCTTGATTGCTTAAAAACTTTAAAAAAAATTCACGTTTGAAATTTGTCTTTTTTATGTGAATTATTTCAATATGATTTGAACATTTTTTATTTGATTACCTGAATATTAGTATAAATATAGTATTCTACTAATAAGTGTATTAAATTTATTTTCAGATCATTGAAAAAAGCGTTCATACATAGATGAATTCATTATATTGGCAAGGAAGAAACTTTTATTGGCATTCAGAACAGCTGTTTTATAATATTATTTTTTACGTTTAAACAGGTTTTTTTCATAGTTATCCTTCACAATTCACGTCAAATGATTTATTTGTCATACGTTAATTTTCATTATTTTTCAACTAAAGGACTATACAAATTTAGTTGTATATATTCAATATATTCAATTTCATTTATAAATGTTAATAAAGAAAATAGATTTACGTTGTATTTATATATATCCTCTTCAGAATCATTTTCTATCACACATACCATGGATTGTAGTTAAAGACCGCGCGTATACAAATATATATTCAAATTCTATTTGTTTTTGACGATTGAGAGTTGCAATTATCACATGTAACCTGGTAATGAAAGTTTGAAAATAAAGTTTTTCAATTATCACTTGTTACCTGGTAATTAACCCCCTTCAAAAGTAATTTAACTTCAAAGAATTTAAGCGATGTGTTAAAATAATCAAAAGTTACTTTTATTTCGCACAATACTGACTGAAACTGAAAAGACTTTATTGTTTTTCTAGCGTTACATTAAAAAATATCATAAATATCTTTCTACAGGCATTCAAATAAAAAGAATGATTAAAATATACGAGTGACATTGTAAATTAAGCGCCCGCAATACATTACCCGTAAAACAATTGAGCGGTAATAAATTTGACTACATAACCCAATAAATCTTGAATATTGCATCTTTGATCATCTGTGAATAACTAACAACATTTTTGGCTTCTTTTTTATTTTGAAATTGAATTTATTATGTTACCATAATAATGAATTTCAAATACCTGCTTTTTATATAAAAAAATGTAAATTTACCGCGGATTTCGTCAAGTTAATTTTTGAATCGTCGTTGCGGACAGATAAACCGTACCTTTAAAAAATAAATTAGATATTTGAATTAAACAAGTATTTTTCTTCAAAATAAACTTTAAATTTCCAAAATCGGATAATAAATGGAAAAGCTATATGGTATTTTGTAAAGTAGGTATCCGTTAGCGCTGGTAAATTATCGATCAATGTACCTTTATCGGGTGCACGACAAGATATTTAAGCATTTATATAGGGTTAACTGGGAGTGTCCAATCCCTGTAATATAAATCAGTGGTTCCAGGAAGATGACTTGAAAGTGATTATTATATAAGTTGCAAGGATTTGTTTCGCAATCAAGCTTAAATAAATATGTTTAAACCAACTCCAGTAAAGCTGAAAAATTACCATATGACTTTTACAGTGTTATGACAGGGAAGAAAAAAATAAATGATAACAGTTAAGTATGTGATGTTATTTTTCAGATTCACAGAGTGGTAATAAGGAACATCCAGCAGGAAGTCATGCCTATCCCTTCTCCGTACAGTTACATGCTAATTTACCATCATCATTTGAAGGGACCCGTGGCCATGTGCGATACGTATGTAAATGTACTATAGACAGGCCATGGAAATTTGATTCACATACAAAGCGTGCATTTACAGTTATTCATCATGTAGACCTTAATTATCTGCAACAGGCACCAGTTAGTAAATGCTTTCACAGCTTTTTACCTTTACCACGCTAGCTTGAAATACTTAAATGGACTTTTCCCATATTTCAATAAGCAAAAAAAATATTTATCATTTTTGGTGGCATAGTTGTGTAGTTTTTTTTCCCCACATTGGAAAATTTTATGACACGAATTTCCCAAATTTGCCATGTGGCATTTTCCCAAAATAGAGGAAAAAAAGCCTGATTTTAGTTCTATGATACTGAACTCCCATAAACTACCAAACTGTTTCATGTGTAGAAAAGGGCAAGTCCATTATATAAATTAAGAAGGATAAAAGATAACTTTTTTTAACAACATAATTTGTAAATAGAGGATATTCAAGTTTTTTCTATAAATACAGGATTTATTTTCAAAGAGTGTGATGAAAATAAATATTTCATGTGTGGCTACCGCCACAAGTGAAATATGATAATTTTCATCCTACAAGATGAAATTAAATCCTTTATTTATGGAAAGAAATCTTGAATTTTGTTTATTATATACATTTCTCTTTTTTGACATTACAATTTGAAAAACTTCCCCTTAAATTTTGTCTATTATTGAATTGAGAAGAAAGTAGTCCTGCAAGACGCCAGTGAAAATACAGAAAGTATGTATAGCTGCAGTGAAAAATATACTTTTACAGTTGAAATATGGAAAATGAAAATACATGTTTCATTTCACAAATATTTCTCAATATTTCATTTATAAGTTACATGTATTATATAATAATAGAATGAAATAAAAAGATGTCTGTAGATTGTTACCTTTTTATAGGCTTCAACTTCTTATCATATCTAACTATGTACTTTTAGGAAACTGTCAAAGACCTATATAAAGTATAGAAAATACTGATTTTTTTTGGTGAAATTTTAAAATTTTAACTATGTTAAATATGTAGTAAACTTAATACATGTTGAGATAACTTTGTCTTATTTGAAGTGTATGAAAATGACTGTATGATTATTTCTGTAAAAGTTATGATATTATCTGAACACTGCTATTATAATATTACATGTATATGAATTATAATCCATCAAACTGAACAAAACGATCTTTGACATTAGCTTTTCCCTATATTTTACTGCCAAATATAATACGGCTGTCTACCTTAGCCCAAAATAGGTATATTTTCCCCTAAAAATGCAATATTTTCCCCTGATATGCCCTATGCACATTCTTCACAAGAACCATGACATTGATTGAATGGCAGAAAGCTGTCCTTATAGATATCTTTTTGCTATGTACATGCATGTTAAATTGAATTGAAATTGAAAATTTTATAAAATGTGTGGGTAAATTCTATTCTTAGCTGTTGGAATTTGATTTTAAGTTTAACCCTCTTTTCTGATTTATCATGATATATTTTCTCCTTTAGAAAACCACAGGTTGTTTTAAAAATTGGAAAAAAAACAAAACAACACTGTTTGAAATGGAAAGAAAGTATTTGACTATTTATATTTCCAGATCCCGTTAGATGGGCAGACAAGACAGGATATCGAGGGTTGTTGTTGTAGTGCCGGATCGGTGGAAGCATCTCTGAGTCTTAATAAGACCGGATATGTACCCGGTGAACCGATTGTATTTGATATTCTTGTAGATAACCAAAGTGATTACAGAATAAATCAAGTAGAGCTGATCCTGACTCAGGTAAAATATGTTGTTCTTTCATATGATAATGTCCAAAGTCCAGATTATACCAACTTAAACCCAGTTCAAAAAAAGTAAAATATAACTATTTATATAGGCTGACACAGATGGGGCAAGGACAAAGCACTATAAAATCCCGAAAACAAAAAAGGCTTTAATCCTTGAAAAGTCTTTACAGGATTATTTACAATACTTTAGTTTATTTCCTTTATTCATCATACATGCCATTTCCAGACTGATTTCCCAGACACTAAAAAATGTTTCTAAAAAATAACATGACAGCATTTAACCAAGTATACCTATATTTACAACTTGCATATATTATGGTACACCAAAGCATGCACTGCGGTAGCATAAAGTAATCAGCATACCTGTTTTTATACTGTGACAATGCCGCATCAGATGAAAGAAAAAATGTTAAAAGAGCGGCTTATAAAGTTTTGTAAGTGGCAGGGAACATTCACTGTCGTCACCAAATATACCCGAAAAAGTCACCCAATTTATTAAAATGTACCACAATCATGTAACAATAGTCTGTTAGACCAAAAATTAAATGTACTTTTCTATTTTTTTTAATAAATTAAAACATTTCTAAGTAATCATCTTGGATGATAAAATAGTGCACTAGAGATGTTAAATTAATAGCAAAGTCTTACTTAGGAAAATGGGGGAAATGGGTTGTTTTAAGGGGAAGGTAACGGGTCCAGAGGTTTTTAGGGGAGGTGGCTATGTTTATCTTTGAAAATTCGGACATTTTTATTTTACAGACAAACGTACCGGGAATCTCGAGGGGCATTCCTATCATCGGGTCACCCAAAAAATTCCCCCAAAACAGCTTCATTTTCCCTCCTTCATTACAACTGTAATATAAAGCAGAGAACTTCGGAAAGAATTAATCGAGCGACACTCGTGCCATCATTGCCACCATCTGGGCTCGAAGGTTGCGGGATAATTGACATAGCCTATACAGTTGAGGTCAGTATATTATATTTGCTTTTTTTGATTATTTGAAGTGAAAAAATATTTTAAGAAATAAAAAAGTTATGATTACAGAAAATCAAGTTGGTATTATTTTTCATCAAGATTCCTTTTGATAAGCCATTGACTTGCTTTGTTCTTTGCAAACAGTTGAAAGTTCCGTGAAGTGGCTCAAAATTGAAGATAGTGATATAAGGTCACTCTTGCTTTTTTCTTGCAATACAGTTGAAAGTCCTGTGTAGTGGCTCAAAATTGAAGAAATTGATTTAAGATCACTGTTGCTTTTTTCTTGCAATACAGTTGAAAGTCCCGTGTAGTGGCTCAAAATTGAAGATATTGAAGAAGATCATACTTGGTACGATACCCCTTCAGGAACCTACATTCCAGGTGCCAGTACAGCCGTCCGCACCATCACTACAGCACTCACCGTCAGGACCTGTCACCGTCCAGCCTCAATCAGTGAACTTGAACATAGATCCTCTACCCCAGCCACCTTCGTATGAAGAAGGTAGCCTTTTTGCCTATAATACTGCATGTTTGTTTCGTCAAATTTCATTGAATTATTTTAACATTTATATTTTCTATAAATATACACTGCTGTACGAACATGATTTCTTCTTGCCTCAAGTAAAGGAATTTTGCTGGATTTTATGTATTAGGTATGAAGTTTTTCTTTAGAGATATATGTCTGTGTGTAAACAGTTGTTTGTGATAAAACCCTAACATAGTCAACAGTGGCTCGAGCTATATCTGCTGACAACCATTTATATTTGGTCATATAACCTGTCAAAAATCCTTTTATCGTCAAAAAACCCTTATAACATAAAGTTATTATCAATGTTCCAAAGGGACAGACTTCTTATCCCATTTGATTATCCCATTTGATTTATGAATCAATGATTTGGAAACAAATGTCCATTTGACACAAAGACCAAGATCAAATGACAATGTTGAAAATTTGTCCAAACATCAAACCAGCAACTCCTTGATTACAAATCTGATCCTGTCTCTAAGCTAATCTAAGAAGGCTGCCAAATTTAACACACATATCATGGTTGAATGCCAATGATTATACAAATTTTGTGTACCTTAAAAAGTAGCAAAAGATAGCAACACATTTTTGTTGTATAAATTGGAAAATTATGTTTTACAGTCATCAAATTTAGCATTGACCCGGTTGCCCATGGCCAGTGAAGATTAAGTCGGCCCAGTGTAAATTTTAAGAAAATTTAGTTAGATATATAGTAGAATAAATTCAAAACTGGAATTCCGACCAGTAAATTAAAAGTCTTAAATTCAATGACTTCTGTTTTTGTTCTGACTGAAACTTATTTCTTAGAATAATTCATGCATCTTTTCCCTTCTTTAGGAGTTGATGAAATGTTTTGTTTTTTTTTGTTTGTTTATTAAGCATCATATTGCATGTATATTTTACTACATTGGAATTATTTTTATTTATATTTAGCCTTAGCCCCTCCTCCAGCCTATTCAGAATGTGTATATGGGCGTACCTTGATCCGAGATGCTGGTGACGATGACCACACCACCGGAGATACAAACTGGGCACCAGCATACCCCTACTACGATTGGTCGACACTTCCATACCGAGGCCAGAGACCGGAGGTTGCGACAGCGGGCCCGCCCCAATATGATAATGATTAAAAGAATGAGTGTTTTTATTTGTCAGGATGTACATGACAGATGTATGATGTATGAGATTAAGCAATAGAAATGTATAGACTTTCTAGATACTGTATAAGTGGTTAATTTTGCGACATGGAAATATTTGCGATTTTGTAAATTGAAATTTTTCACAAATATTTCATCATCACACAAAAAATATTCCTTTTTAAGCAAATTTTTTTCAATCATTTGAAAACATGTTTTCATACAGCATCTTACATGAATAAGTTTGTACTGAGATTAATTTTTCTCATTGCTTGTTTGTTTAAATTTTGTCTTAACAAATCACAAATGTTTTAATGAAACAATATAATGTGTTAATATCACAGCATGTTATTCATATAACAAAATTATGTTTCAAAATATGCTTTGCCGCGCCTGACCAATTTAATGTTGTAAATTTGTACTAATAAAGTTTAACCTATACTAAATTCAAGAAATCAACAATATAATGTGTTAATATCACAGCATGTTATTCATATAACAAAATAATGTTTCAAAATATGCTTTGCCACGCCTGACCAATTTAATGTTGTAAATTTGTACTAATAAAGTTTAACCTATACTAAATTCAGGAAATCATATTTTCGCAAATATTTCAGCAAGCAATATGTCCACTTTTTGACTATCGCAAAATTTTTGTGATGCATAAATATCTACTTATACAGTATTATATTTTTTACATAATGAAAGAGTTTTCATGCCACCGGAATGTTCCCCACCATGTTTACATAATACCACTGTCTCCAGTAATGTTTTATACCAATATTCTTGATAGATTTTAAAATTGATATTTTTTATCATATTTAAATGACTTGTGTCAAATTAATTTGAAATTTACTTTCTTCAAAGAAAAGAAGGTAAATCATATTTTATTTGTCTCCAAATATATTTTTCTAAATGTTTTAGTCAGTTTTATTTTATTTTAAAACTATGCACAATCTTTTTCCCTGTGTAATTATTGTTGTATAACTTTTTGTGCCCCCACGTTAGTGGCGGGCATTTAGATTTACCCTTGTCCGTCCGTCTGTCTATCCGTCCGTCCTTCCGTCCGTTCACTTTTGTGTCGCACGTAACTCAAAAAGTATTTGACCTAGAGTCATGAAACTTTACAGGAATGTTGATCAGCATGTGTTGTTGTGCACCTGGGTATTATCGTCTGGATATTTTTAGTTTTTTTAGAGTTATTGCCCTTGACTTAGTAAAATTTTGCAATTTTCAACTTGTGTCGCATGTAACTCAAAAAGTATTTGACCTAGAGTCATGAAACTTTAAAGGAATATTGATCAGCATGTGCAGTTGTGCACCTGGGTATTTTTGTGTTGATATTTTTAGTATTTTCAGAGTTATTGCCCTTTATTTAGTAAAATTTTGCAATTTTCAACTTGTGTCGCATGTAACTCAAAAAGTATTTGACCTCGAGTCATGAAACTTTACAGGAATGTTGATCAGCATGTGTAGTTGTGCACCTGGGTATTTTTGTGTTGATATTTATAGTATTTTAAGAGTTATTGCCCTTTACTTAGTAAAATTTTGCAATTTTCAACTTGTGTCGCACGTAACTCAAAAAGTATTTGACCTAGTCATGAAACTTTACAGAAATGTTGATCAGCATGTGTAGTTGTGCACCTGGGTATTTTCTTCTGGATATTTTTTGTATTTTTAGAGTTATTGCCCTTTATTTAGTAAAATTTTGCAATTTTCAACATGTGTCTCACATAACTCAAAAAGTATTTGACCTAGAGTCATGTAACTTTACAGGAATATTGATCAGCATGAACAGTTGTGCACCAGATATTTTCGTCTGGATTTATTTAGTATTTTCAGAGCTATTGCCCTTCACTTAGAAATTTTTTTTGCAATTTTCAACTTGTGTGGCAAGTTACTCAAAAAGGATTTGACATATTCATTAAACCTTAAGGGCAGGTTGCTCAGCATATTTAGATTTGCACCTGGGGTTTTGCTTGTGGATTTATCCAGTATTTGTAGAGTTATTTCCCTTGACTTAGTAAAAAGATTGACAGAACAGTGGCGCGGTGGGGGCACCCGTGTCCTATGGACACATTTCTAGTTTAATCAGCAATTCGTTTGAGATAAACTATTTATAGATTTTATAAAATGAACTGAAGGAGTAACAGGCCATTTCCAATTTATTGCAGCAGCCGTTAAAAAGGCTTTCTTTCTCTCAGGAAAATTCTCTGAAAGTACATGTATGTGCAGTTTACACTGAAAATTAAAATGTACATAAAATAATTTCTTCCCCTTTTGCTAAAATAGTGTTATTTTTTCCCCTCCAAATTAGATTAAGAGTCTGACTGTGAAAAAAGCTCTGAGTTCATTCAACAATAACTAAAGGTTTGAGGGTTTTTTTTCGATTTTTTCTCTGAAAGGTGCTTTTTCAGGTTTTCTGAATTTAACAAAGCAACATTTTTTTACCCAAATAGTAAGTTTGTGACTCATTGCTTGTTTGACATGATTTTTGACCACTAAGTTTAACCCATGTACTATTTATTGCAGGTATTTGACATAAAGTTCTATAACTTTGCTTTTATTTCTTTGGCCAGGACTACATGTATTATTTTAGTGGTTAAGGTCGTTGACTTCAAACCACTTGCCGCCCACCGCTGTTGGTTTGAATCCAGACAGGGACTTTAGATTCTTTCATGTGAGGGAGCTATCCAGATGGCTTACGGAACGTCGGTGGTACTATTCAGGTGCCTGTTTGTGCCTGAGGTCTTCCTCCTTCAGTAAAGCCCGAACGTCGTGATATGACCTATACTGTGTCGATGTGACGTAAAAACCCAAAACAAACAAACAAAATTTTAGTTTAGTAGGGTATTTTTTAAACAATAACAAAGATCTGTATGTGATACAACAGCATGTTTTTAAAGCAGCATGCCTCCAGATTGATGCTTATTTTCATGTATATTTTGTAAATTTATTCAAAAATAAACTACAATGTATTGTGAAGTGAACAAGGAAAGAAATTTACACATTGCGGACATCACTTACAATCCACGCAAATTACCAAAAAAGAGATCAAAATATGCACAAATAGCCCTTACTGCATTTAGTTAAGCAGTAGAAATATGGTAATACTGCAAATCATTAAGCACACATAACATGTAAATTATTACTTGAATCTTAAATTATTTTAATTTTCTTAAAATTTTATTACATTTTTCTCAAAATAGACGAAACAGAATCCCTAAAACATGCCAAAAATGGCAAAACGAACATGTTGCAGGCTCGGTTGATTGAGTCTGTTTTTGGACAGTGCTGGAAAGTGCAAGTCTGACTTTCTTGAAATATTTTGGTTCATCTGGAGGCATGCAGTTTTCAGGGTTAAGTCTAAAGGGCTTTACTCCTTTTTGTCATTTTTTTGTGCTCATTTTTAGGGGGACTTCATGGCAGAGTGATTGACAGTACTTTATATAATTTACTTGCTCACTGCAACTGTGGGTTCAGATCCTCCCAGGGACATATTAAGATTGTTCCATTTGAGATTGTTCTACCCAAGTGGCAGCTTGAACTTGAAATAATCCGCAGTGGGACACCTGAGGTCATATTTTATCAATAAAATGAACAAATAGTGCTCATTGTAAATAAAAATTTTCATATAGATTTATTCTTGTATTTATTCATTATTGCCATGTATGCAGAAAAGTGCATAATGTTTTCCATGGCTACAAGAAAAATATTATTTATACTTCATTGGTGCATTCAGTTCATATATACGCATTTTTATTAATTTCTGACTAGTCTTGTAAAATAGATTTTTCGTTCTCTTTGTTCTTTTAAAACATATTCATTTTGTATATCTTTGTCATTTTTTCAAATGTTCATTTGAAGCAAATTATGAATAAAGATGTTGTGGTGTTATGGTATAGTCAGTGATATAGTTATCGACACTTTAAATTGCAATACCCTTATGTATATTTAACACATATGAGCCGCGTCACGACAAAACCAACATAGTGCGTTTGCGACCAGCATGGATCCAGACCAGCCTTTGCATCCGCACAGTCTGATCAGGATCCATGCTGTTCACTTACCAACTCTATTACAAGTAGAGAAACTGATAGCGAACAGCATGGATCCTGATCAGACTGCGCGGATGCGCAGGCTGGTCTGGATCCATGCTGGTCGCAAACCCACTATGTTGGTTTTGTCATGACACAGCTCGTATTTACATGGGTACAAGTTTTCAGGCATTTGCCTGAAGTTCAGGTTGTTTTTGTTTTACTCCTGAAAGCTCTCTTTTTCTATAATAAACCAATTGATATAATACTAAAATAGGGTTTTCAGGATTGTCTAATATTTCTAACTTGCACCCATGTATTTATCAGTTTGTTTATTTTAATGTTATTGAACCATTCAATGAAAAACTATTTGTACTTGTAAATTTTTCATAATTTATATGAATTACTTACAACTTGTGTTAGATTTATTTTGTCAGGTTATATTTTATTGTATATTAAATTGGATAGGTCTACAATGTACACATTTTCTGTAAGTATTTCAAAAATTGATGAAAACAATAGAAATGCATCATTTGGATATTCTTATAAAATATTGCTTGAAAAAAAATGTTGATAAAAAGTTCTAAATGATTTACTTTGAACATTTATGTGATGAATAATAATATTTTTGTTCTAGAACATTTTATTCTATGTATTATTATTTATATGTTAATATTTTATTTTATATATCAGATCATGTATCTCACAGTTCCCAACAGCATCCATATGTAATTCTTTCATGGTTTGTGTTGTTATATCTAATACTAAACACTATCAACATAATTATTTATTGTATTACAAACCTTCCATTTTAGACCAATTAACTTTTATTGATGAAGGCAAGGTCTTGGTGTGTAAAATATCGGTACATTGTTAATTGTACGCTACTTATTTAAAAGAAAGGTTATGTTATACCTATATATCATAATGATATTAAAACACTATAGGGGAAGGGTTTAAACAGGACAGTCCGACACTGGCCTAAATTTGGGCCGTTTTAGTAATCGACTGGGTTTTTTGTAACAAATTTTCCCTCATCGGGTCTGGGCTTTCAATTAAAGCGTGGTCAAGTTCATTATCATGAAAGGTTTAAGGTTCATATAATTATGTATCTTCTTACAATGTTCAAATTGTATCTTCATGTATAAATTTTCTGTTCTATCTATTCATTTCTGTGATCATTGTAAATAATTTGAGCCGCGTCACGACAAAACCAACATAATGGGTTTGCGACCAGCATGGATCCAGACCAGCCTGCGCATCCGCGCAGTCTGATCAGGATCCATGCTGTTCGCTTACAAACCCTATTACAAGTAGAGAAACTGATAGCAAACAGCATGGATCCTGATCAGACTGCGCGGATGCACAGGCTGGTCTGGATCCATGCTGGTCACAAACC